GACAACATAAAATAGTGTAACAACACAACAGCTGCTTAAAAGTTAGAAATATTACACATGTGATTATTGTCGACCAAAAGAAAAAAAATGGATGAGGGGGTGGGGTGGTGGTGGGGGAGACACTCAGAAATGGAGGTCAGGCCAGAAAGCATAAAGGCAGGGGGCTATCAGCTGGGAGAATGGAAGCTCCTATGCTATGCCTTTCCGGGGTTTTATCACTAGAAAGTACACAAAGAAAATCAAGAGAGATAAGCAAAAATAAAGAATCATGGGGAAGTAAATCTCAAAGAGAAATCTTTTGTAAATAAATCTTCTGTTGTTTACCTTATGCTTATCTCAGATACAAACTAAGAATTAGGAAACCAAAGGTCTGCCTTGGTGCTACAGGGGGAATTCTAGCTTCTATCTACCCCTCCCTCAACTCCTGATGCAGCATTTGGTTAATTAGTAATATTAAATCTGACATTTGAAAAATAAATAAATAAATTAAAAAAAAATCTGATATTTGGCTTCCCACATTTTCCCTCTTTTGTTTAAATCATTTTATGGCTTCATTCTTGCTTGTTTTTGTTCTCTTCATCCTTTAGATATACTCAAACAAATATAATAAATTAAGCAAAATAAGCTCACAAAAATACATTCAAAAATCTTCATATGATCAGAAGGATTAAGGCTGGATATTCCTTCACTATTCCTTGTGGAATATCTATGTCAAGAAAATTGAAAACTTATGTTTGTATAAAGCATAAAATGTGCAGAGTAATATTAAAAATTATGAAAGCTGAAAATAATCCAAATGTCTATCAATAAATTAATGAATAAAAAATTACATAGTCAAATAATGGAATATTATAATAATAAAAAACAAAGCATGCTATAAGGATAAATTTATTATGCTAAATAAAAAATGCCAATCTCAAAAAATTGTCTATTGTATGATTCAGTTATATGAGAGGTCCAGAATAGACAAATACTTGGACAAAAAGTAGATCAGCGATTGACCACTGCTGAAAGGAGGCAATATGCAGGAACTGATAAAAGGTTTCTTTTCGGGTAACGAAAATGTTAAAATTTAAAATGGCGATAGTTATACAATTTTGTGATACCGAAAAAAAAAAAAATCACTGACTATATACCCTATACAGATTCATTTAATAGTATAGGAACTTCATCTTAATCAAGTTTTTTTTTTTAAAAAAAGGAAAAATACTGCTTAAAGGTTCATATGATTAACTGTATGAATCAACCAGAATGGATACTATCCTCAAGTTTCTATGACCTAAGATTGCATACAGATTCCTTACCAGTTTTGATCTCCACTCCTCATAACAGAAGATGCCAAACACAATTTCTCCCGGATGGACCATGGCTCCGTAGGGCCAGTACTCAGCAGCTTGTGTTCTGAAAGAAGAGAAAGCTCAGAAGCAACTACTGATACCTTATTTCTAAGTTCTTGGGAGAGAACTAAGGGCCTAATATAAAACAAATTAACTTGTTCAAAACAGGCTACTATGGTACAATTTCAACTCTGGAGTGGCTATGAATCACAGCTGACTTTATGGCACCTAACACCACTGAGCCAATTGACAGCATTAGTTTGTTTTATGCAGATGACACAACCCTGCTTGCTGAAACTGAGCAGGACATGAAGCGCTTGCTGCAGAGGGTCAAGGACTGCAGCCTTCAATATGGGTTGAGGCTCAATGTCAAGAAGACAAAGATTCTCACCACTGGACCAACTGGCAGAATCAGGATGGATGGTGAAGAGATTGAGATTGTTCACAGCTTTAGTTTGCTTGGCTCCACAGTCAACACTCTTGGCACCAGTAGCCAGGAAATTAAAAGGCGCATTGCCATGGGAAAGTCTGCTGTTAGGGACCTCTCCAGCAATGGTGTCTCTGGAGACTAAGGTGCATGTGATACAGGCCATGGTCTTGGCAATCACTTGTTATGCATCAGAGAGTTGGACAATGACCAAGGAGGATAGAAGGAGAATTGATGCCTTTGAGCTGTAGTGCTGGAGAAGAGTACTGAGAGTACCATGGACTGCTAGGGAAACAAACAGATTCATCCTGGAAAAGGTTAAACCGTGTGGCTCCTTGGAGGCAAGGATTCTGAGGCTCCATCTAACATACTTTGGACATGTTGTTAAGGAGAGACCGGTCCTTGGAGAAGGACATCATGCTCAATAGGGTAGAGGGACAGCGCAGGAGAGGAAGGCCCTCTATGAGGTGGATTGATTCAGTGACTGAGATAATTGGGATGGGAGTATCAGAGACAGTGCGATTGGCACAGGACAGAGCAGAGTTTAGGGCTGTTGTACATAGGGTCACTGTGAGTTGCAAGCGACTCAACCGCACATACCACCACCACCACCACCATCACCACGGTACAATAGTTTGCGCTCAGTTGCTAACCTAAGGTTGGTAGTATGCAGCCTGAAACAAATATGTGACTGCTGGCTTCCATGAAATCCTCCAAGACAAGTTATATGTATTCTGTATGAGTCATAATCAATTGGACAGTGACTATCACCAAATTCAAATATCCATGTCTCTACTGAAATACAAAAAATTGTCAGAATTTGTGAGGATTGCACAAGATACAACAGGGTACAGATCTATTGTTCATAGGGTTGCTATGAGTCGTTCTCAACTTGATGGCACCTAAAAACAACAGAAATACAAGGGAGTTCTGGTAGCCTAATGCTAAGAAGCTGAGCTGCAGTATCGAAGGGACAAGGTTCAAAACTACTGTGGGAGAAATACTGGCAAGCTCTTTCCTGAAAAATGCACTGGAGGGTCAGCTATGAATGAATCCGTTTTGACTTGATGCAAAGAGTTAGTTAAGTACTCCCACTAGCCAGATACCTATTCATGATATAAGAACCACACCAAGTGTAAGACATCACCTTGGTGATACAGTGGTAAAGCCTCAGCAACAAACAGAAAAGGTGGGCATCTTAGCAAGGAGTCGGCTTATGTAAAGATTTACGCCTTAAAATCTAATGGGGCAGTTCTAATTATAGATTGGGAGTAGTCTCAAAAACAACGGATTTCTAAAAGGAAGGGACAGAATAATTGCGTTCCTTGAATGTTACCACTTCCAAGGCCTACTCTGTTGAAAAATAGAAAATGCCAGATTAAGACATAAGATTCTCCAGAAAGGTAATTTTTTAACTCAAATTTTTCTTTCAAATTGAAAGCAAGGGTTCATTTCCCAGTATTCCCAGCGGCCACCCCGCCTCCTCTTCAGCATAAATTTATTTACTCCTGTTTCCCCCACCCGTCCCACTCCCCGCCCCCTAACTGTGGGACTTTAAATAAAGAATTCCTGTCCACGACAGGGAAATGGCTGGGAGGCACGAAACGGAATTACCCCGGAGGCAGCAAAATCTCACGGTCAAAATACGCCATTTCCAGTTCTAAGAGGAGGACTTTTTGAGATGCTGGTCGCTCTGTAAAGCGCACATTTCTTTTCACGCCCAAGTTTCTGAAAAGCCTTTATTCCTTCGCCCACAGAATTCCTCATACACAAGGATTTACTCAGTTAATGTCCTCACACGCTCTCTACTAGAAACACACGATCTTGCACTTCTGGCCCACTACCGCTGGTCTTCACGACACCGTTGAAGGTGTCTGAAGACCCTAGTCCTCAAGGAGACCACTTCCCCCACTCTCTACGTGTGTATGCCTAGGGTACTGCCTAGCCCTTGCTTCACTAATGCCTCTGACGGAAAAGAAATACAAGCACTCACTGCCCGTTCCGGCCGCCATCTTGGCCTCGAAATCTTCAAGCCTCCAAGAGAACCCGGTAGAGCCGAACCTAGTGGAACTGTGGGAAACGGAGTCCGTGCGTTTGTTCGCGGTGGCTCCTGGGAAATGTAGTTCTCACCCCAGCCACCCTCAAGCTGCAGCAAGCACAGTGAACGAATCTCTTGTTCGTTCCCCGGAAGAAGTGATGCTAAGGACAGAGCGGAGTTGGCAGTCGACGCCTCAGGGTTTCCTTCAGATTTCTTATGAAAAAAACATCTAGGGTTCAAGAAATAGGGGGTAAACACGAAGAATCTCAGGGCAACCAACTCCAAATTCGCGGCAGTTGGTAACCCGGACGCGCAAAAGAAATAAAAGGTCAAACCGAAGTAAACGGTCTCCCCTAGTTGCCTTTCGTTGATTGGTCGTTGAAGCCATCCGTGTCTGATTGGTCAAACGAACACAGCGCGTAGTTTAAAACTTTGTATAGGCGACAAAGGTGCGCCTCCTGAGCGGAGTTGTGCTCTTCCCTGCTGCAGGTCCGAGTCCGACGTGTGAGCCAGCCGGCACCAGAGAGGTAGCTAGAATCTCCTGGCTTTCAGGTGAGTGTGCTAATGGATTGGAACCAGCGTATGCCCTCTCGGAATACTGCCATCTCTATTTTCCTGTTTCCTTCTGCATTTACTATGGGCCTTGGGGCGAGTTTGGAGTAGCGTCCTCGGGATCCTAACCATGGCTCCCGCAGGTTTTCTGCTGGCACTGCACTTGGAGTGTGGGTTTCTTCTTTTACATTCCGAGACCCCTTTCTTTCCTGTATCAAGTCAGAAATATAGCCTCTGACTGGGTTAAGAAATAAACTCGCATTGCTTATTTTGGGACCTACCTAGTCCATATAGAGCGTTGCGCTACAGGTCAAAAGGCCACGCCTCCTGAGGCTTCCCAATCACCCGGAAGGAAGGTGAACAGTCTGTCCTCCAGTGCAATTTAAAACCTACGAAAACCTGCTGGAGGGTCAGTTATGAGTCAGTTCCAAATCCACATCAGTCACTTATACTCCCCCCCACCCCCAATTACCTTCCCAACATTAGGAAGACCAAGCAGTGGGAGTTCTGACATCCCGCACCCCATGTCCCTGGGCAGGGGCATTGTTTTTCATCTGAGACATCCCTGGCTCTTTAAGGTGGTCCCTAACTACTGTTTTTTGGTGTGTTTTTTTTCCTTCTTTTAAGTTAAACTGTCCTTGCTGTCATGTCACAAGGGATCCCTTCTCCGCCACTGGGCTTGCTGTCCGACGAGGAGGTAGCAGTCTCCCCCATTTTTGAATCCACAGCAGCAGACTTGGGGTCTGTGATACGAAAGGACCTGCTTTCAGACTACTCTGCCATCTCTTCCTCCTCAGAGGATAAGCAGCAGGTAAAAAAGAAAGTAGGGATATTCTTTTTTTTTTTCTATAATTATATTTTATTAATTTTCATAAACATTTACAGAGATTTTGGGTTTCCATTCATTCATTGTTGCACTATTCTCTCTACCCTCCTCCCAGTTTGTTCTTGTCCAAATGCCACAGTGCTTGTCAAAGCCAGTTCTGATTAATCTCCTTTGTCAGTGTGTCCTTTGCCATTCCCTATCACTCCTCCCTGAGAGAGACTTCACCCTGAGTCATAAGGAAAAGGGGATGGCGTATTCTCTTAGCTACTTCCTGTTGAAAAGGGACGCTGTGGGTTTCAGGGTGAAGATCTTCTCTCACTACTCTAAAGGGCCAGTAGGGATATTCTTGGAGGCAGCAAGTGATATTGCCAGCAAACCATAGCCCATATAGAAGTGTTGAGATTTAATTGGAAATTTAATTTCGTGATAAGCAAAAACAGTGACATATGTGTCAATGATAACTAATATTTACAAATATATATATGTCTTCGGAAAAGTGCAGCCAAAGTGCTCTTTCAAGCTTCGTCTCACATACTTTGGGCATCTTGCAAAGAGAGGTGTGTGGATCATAACAAATTACGGACATCTTCCTTGGTAAGGGACATCATGCTAGGAAAGGTGTTTATATTGGTCCCTCAGCCGTTGATTTGCAAGACCATGTGTCTATAGTTAAGGTAGCTGGAGATCACTCTCCCAGTAGGGGCTAGGAAAGCTACTTATCAAGACACCACACCAGTGAGACACATCTTCTGATTTCTTTTATTTATTTATTTATTTATTTTTTTAAATTTTTTTATTTTTGTGTGCGTGTACCATCAAATCAGATCTGACTGGTACAGGAGGAGATGGCCCCTCCTTCCCCGGCAGAGCACCTGGTGGATTCGAACCGTGCACCTCTGGGATTGTACATCTTCTGATTTCTTGATGGCTGGTACTAAGGGTATTGATTGTGGATCCCTGTAAGATGAAATCACTGACAACTTCAGTCTTTTCTCCATCTTTCAAGATATTGCCTGTTAGTCCAGCAATGAGGACTTTTTGTCTTAATGTTGAAATGCAGTCCACATTGAAGGCTTGTAGTCTTTGATTTTCTGCAGCAGGTGTTTCGAGCCCTTTTTCAACAAGCAATTTTATATCATCTACATATGGCAGGACTTTGATGAGTCTTCCTCCAATCCCAATTCCATGCTCATCTTCATAAAGCTCAACTTCTCAAATTATTTTCTCCATAAATAGACTGAAAAGGTATAGAGAAAGGATACAGCCTTAACACATGCCTTTCTTGATTATAAACCATGTAGTATTTCTTTGTTCTATCTGGATAATAATTTCTTAGTTGCCAGGAGGGATGGGTCCTTGGAGAGGGATATCATGCTTGGGAGGGTGGAGGGACAGCGCAGGAGGGGAAGACCCTCTATGAGATGGATCAATTCAGTGACTGGGGTAATCGGGATGGGTGTGTCAGAGGCAGTGTGGTTGGCGCAGGATAGAGCAGGGTTTAGGGCTGTTGTGCATAGGGTCGCTATGAGTCGGAAACGACTCGACGGCACATAACAACAACAAGGTATAGTTTTGTGTGAACACAATTAAGTGTTGTGAGATTCTCATTCTCAGTGTTGCCGGTAATTTGTTATGATCCACACAGTCAAATGCATTGTCAATAAAACACAAATCGACCAAAATTCCATCTGACATCAGCCACGATATCCCTCATGCCACATGACCTTTTCTAAATCTACCTTGACTTTCCAGATGTACTGATCTAATTTGACATAGTCTTCAGCAAAATTTTACTTGCATTTGATAGTAATGATATTGTTTGATAATTTCCACATTCTACCATTTTTTGTTATGGGAGCAAATGTGAATCTCTTCGTATCAGTTGGCCATGTAGTTGTATTCCACATTTCTTGGTGTAGGCTAGTGAGCACATCCAAGGCTGCATCCGTTTGTTGGAATAAATCAGTTGGTATTCCATTAATATCTGGAGCCTTATTTATCACAAACACTTTCTGTGCAGCTTAATTTCTTCCTTCATTACCATGGCTTCTAAATCATATACTTTTTCCTAAAATGGTCTGTGTCAACCAGTTCTCTTTGGTACAGTGACTGACTGTATTTCTTTTATCTTTTTTTGCTGCTTCCTGCATCAAGATTTTCATTCTAGACACTATTCTAGAAAATGTCTCTCTAGCATAAGGGGTTAGGTAATGGCTTTGGTTGAGGCCCTTTTTACCTAACCATACATTAAATAGGGTAGAGAGCCCTGGTGGCATAGTCCATAGAGGTGGGCTTATAACCTACTTCTCTGGCAGTTCAAGTGCACGAGCTGCTGTTTGGGAGAAAGATGGGCAGTCTCCTCCCCTGTGATTTAAAACCTCAGAATCCCACTGGAGGGTCAGTTGCAAGCTGGTTCCAACTCATTGGTAACAAGTTTGAGTTTTGACATGTTAAAAAGTTAACATGTCCTTTTTTTGTCTTCAGAAAAACTGTACGCAGACATCGCTCCTATAGAAGCAGGAATCTTGCTACTATCTGTCACTAGAGACTACCAGTTAATGAGTTCTAAATCAGATAGCTAATGTGGTAGTCTAGGTTTGCAAAATACTGATGAGATAGGAAAGATTGACACATGAAAAGGTGATCATTTGGGGGGAGTACTGGAGAAGTGTTAACATGATTCTTAGAAACTGTGCTGTTTGTCCACTAATACCTTCAGTGGTAACTGAGTTAAATGTGTGGTTCTGGGTTGGAATTCTGCCACAGGTTCTCTCTGAGGATAATACAGAGAAGGTGAAAGTATACCTGAGGATCAGACCTTTGCTACCTTCAGAGATAGAACGAGAGGAGGATCAGGTGAGTGTCTTTGGAAGGAAGATTCAAGAAGGAATGATAGAATCACAAGAGCTTCCCATGAATGTTTCCTTCTGTTGTAACTGTGTTTCCCCCCCTTTCAGGGTTGTGTCCACATTGAAAATGTGGAGACTCTTATTTTACAAGCACCTAAGGATTCTTTTGCTCTGAAGAGCAATGAAAGAGGAATTGGCCAAGCTACACACAGGTTCTCTTTTTCCCAGGTACAGTGAAGTTACTGCGCTTTGGACAAGAAACTAGCATATAGAGGCAACTTTTTCTCTCTCTGGGAAGAAAGCTCTGGTCTTCTCCCTCTCTCTCTTTCCCCATAGACACCTACACACCCCTACAATTAGGGGTGAGACATGTCTTTGTTAGGTATTTGTTTATTAAGTACTACATAAGCATTAATTAAAACCTACTTTGTTACTGTCTCTCTTTTCCTGACTACAACATTATGGTACAGTAAATGTAAATAATAGTAGTACCAAACAATGTAGCTAATCAGTGGGAGAGGTAGGATTTAGAGCCATATCCATCCCTCTCCCTCTCCAAAGCTTACTTGTGACCATTATACTGCCCTATTGTATATACAGCATTTTGCTTAGTTTATAGCATTCCATAAATATTTGTTAATTTGGCTGAAAGATGGACTAGCCAAGAGTAGTTCAATTCTCGGTGTTTAGGGAACAGCTGATACCTGTAAGGAACAAGTTGCTTGCGTTGTCTCTATAGCCACGACTCAGAAAGGGCTAAATCTTCTGGCTCTGCATAGGAGGCAAGTAAAAGATAAAGGATGGATCTTTGAAAAACTCTGTCTGTCCCTAGATCTTTGGACCCGAAGTGGGGCAAGCAGCCTTCTTCAACCTGACCATGAAGGAGATGGTAAAAGATGTACTCAAAGGGAAGAACTGGCTCATATATACCTATGGAGTCACCAACTCAGGAAAAACCCACACAATCCAAGGTACGTAGCAATGCCTCACAGCACTGTAGTTGGTCTGTAGTTGTGTCACATACCAAGTGATGTCCCTCTTTCACACACCTCCAGGTACCATCAAGGATGGAGGGATCCTACCTCGATCTCTAGCTCTGATCTTCAGTAGTGTTCAAGGTCAGCTTCATCCAACACCTGATCTGAAGCCCTTGCTTTCCAGTGAGGTAATCTGGCTAGACAGCAAGCAGATCCAGCAGGAGGAAATGAAGAAGCTGGCTCTGTTAAATGGAGGCTTCCCAGAGGTGAAGTATTTGTGTTCATGGAGGCAAGCTAGGGGTGCAAGCCTTTGGAAAGTTAATGTACTTATCTTTTGCTTGGGCCCTTCTAGGAAGACTTATCTACCTCCTTGAAGAGAAGTGTCCACATTGAAAGTCGGATGGGTACCAGCACCAGCTTTGATAGTGGCATTGCTGGGCTCTCCTCTACCAGTCACTTTACCAGCAATAGCCAGATGGATGGTAGGTACCATAACTGGGTTCTCTGCCAAGTAATATGAACTCCCACTCCCTGTTCCCAGCTGCTGAGATGTAGACTAGAGGCTACAACCTGAACTCTGCCTTCCAAGGACACCCTCCCACCTCCAGGCAAAAGGGGTCAGGGACTTCTCTAGAACTGAGTCTCTGTACATTGTGTTCTTCCCCAGAAACAAGTCATCAATGGGCAAAGCCCGACACTGCCCCAGTAAGTGTCCCAGCAGACATCCGCTTCTCCATCTGGATATCATTCTTTGAGATCTACAACGAGCTGATCTATGACCTGTTAGAACCACCTAGCCAACAGCGCAAGAGGCAGACTCTACGATTGTGTGAAGATCAGAATGGCAATCCCTATGTGAAAGGTATGGGAATGTGGAGAGGTTGGCATGAACTCTGAGGGAATTTAAAGGGAAAAGTTGGGTGCTTCCATCTTATGCATGTCTCTCCTTTGGCCTCAGATCTCAACTGGATTCATGTTCAGGATGCTGAGGAAGCCTGGAAACTGCTGAAAGTAGGTCGTAAAAACCAGAGCTTTGCAAGTACCCTATTGAACCAGAACTCTAGCCGCAGGTGGGTGAAGTGTTGGAATCAACCCTTCATTGTATTCCAAAGAACCTAATTCCTCCATCTGTTCATGGAAAGTATATAACGTTTCCCCTTTCTTTTCAGTCACAGCATCTTCTCAATTCGAATTCTGCACCTTCAAGGGGAAGGGGATTTAATTCCCAAGATTAGTGAGTAAGTTTGCCTATTGAGAAATTTGAAATGGTATGTAAGGGAACTCCTCAGAGGAATTACTTGTGTTAGAGCCTCTGCTTTGCTTCCATGGGTACAGAGATTGACAGTGACCCTTTCCTCTCCAGAACTATATGAAGGGCTATTAGGCTCATGTTGTACAGGGTTCTTATGTTAGATCATGTCATTCATTCTAGGTTGTCACTGTGTGATCTGGCTGGCTCAGAGCGCTGCAAAGATCAAAAGAGTGGCAAACGGCTGAAGGAAGCAGGAAACATTAACACTTCTCTGCACACTCTAGGCCGCTGTATTGCTGCTTTGCGCCAGAATCAGCAGAACCGGTGAGCTCTTGGCTGTAATCCCTGGGTTGGAAAGACATCAGGCTCTACAATTTGCTGAGGACAGTGCTGCTGTGCCTAAAGACTGGAATTTTCACAGCTGTTTTCCCATTTCCTGTCAGGTCAAAGCAAAACTTGGTTCCCTTCCGTGACAGCAAGTTGACTCGAGTGTTCCAAGGCTTCTTTACAGGCCGAGGCCGCTCATGTATGATTGTCAATGTGAATCCCTGTGCATCTACCTATGATGAAACCCTTCATGTGGCCAAATTTTCAGCTATTGCCAGCCAGGTAAAGAGCTATAAATGTGACAGTGGTACTTTTGCCTCAAGAAACTACTAGAGACTAGTTATGGATTTAATTTTTCTGCCTCTAGCTTGTGCATGCCCCACCAGTGCAACTGGGATTACCACCCCTGCATTCATTCATCAAGGAACACAGTCTTCGGTCATCCCCCAGCTTAGAGACGGGGCCTAAGCTGGACCCAGGCCTTGATGACAACACAGAAAATGAAAGTGACATCTCCATGTATGGCAAGGAGGTGAGGATGCAAGGCTTTTGAGTGACAGCTGGATGGCTACACATTTTCCAAGATGCTTTCCAAGTGAGTCCAGGATCTTTTTAGGGCACAGACATGATTTCTGACTGAAATGTATCTTTAGGAACTCCTGCAGGTGGTAGAAGCCATGAAAATACTGCTTTTAAAAGAAAGGCAGGAAAAGCTACAGCTGGAAATGCAGCTCCGTGACGAAATTTGCAATGAGATGATGGAGCAGATGCAACAACGGGAACAGTGGTGCAGGTACTCACTCAGTGACCTCCCTTGTTCTGTCACCTGGGCCAGAAGATAGAGAGTGAGGAGTGGGATGGAGTTGGGCCTCAAGATCTGTCCTCTAAGATTACTCCTCAGAATATGTATTCACTTAACAGTGAACATTTGGACACTCAGAAGGAGCTATTAGAGGAAATGTATGAAGAGAAACTAAAGATTCTCAAGGAGTCACTCACAAGTTTTTACCAAGAAGAGCTTCAGGTGAGTTGCCCTAAACTCTTCCAACTAGTTGCCCAGATTCCCACTCACTAGCTTACCTAATTCTATTCTACTTAGTGCATTGTATGTGTTCAATCCATATTTGGTGACTTGATTTAAGGGGTAGTTTGCCAAGAAATGGGATAAAGATAAGTGCTAACAGACTTTCAGGGCCTAAATATGAATTTGTTCATTCATCTGTTCTTGCCATATTTGACTGACTGTGGATGGAATTACACTCTCACTTCCCTCTTAGGAGAGAGATGAAAAGATTGAAGAGCTAGAAGCCCTCTTACAGGAAGCGAGACAGCAACCAGTGGCCCACCAACAATCTCAGTCTGAACTGTCCTTTCGGCGATCACAACGGCTGGCAGGGTCCCATGGCCAGCAGCTCCAGGAGGTGAAATCTAAATTAGAGCAGTGCCAAACAGAGCTAAAGTCTACCTCGGAAGGTGAGGAAGGAGAGAAGGCAGGAAGCGTAACTGTTATAACACAGTTTCACAGTAATTACTGTGTGTGATAGGGATAGCTCCTGCTCCCCCTCATTACTGAGGTATGAATTACATATGTTAAATTTTAAATAAACAGCTCAGTGAATTTTTACACATACATACATATATCTAACACCAACTAGACCAAGATGAGTAACATTCTCATACTCTAGAAATTTATCACTACTAATATGTCCTGGTTATGTTAGTTACATGTATCCAACCCCATAAAAAAATCAAGACTGTCTCTATACTGATAATATGATGACAAAAACATTATTTAAAATTAGATGGTCAGCTTATGTTAGCATCATTTTAACAATGGAATCATCAGAATGGAACCCCATTGAAAGCTAGGGACAAACTTCTTGATACCCAGATACAAATGGTTTATCCAATCACAACGAAGTGTTCTTCAAAATGAGACTTGATCAAAAAAAAAAAGTGTTCTTCAAACTGGGCCTTCTGACTCCAAGTCCAACATTTTTCTCTTTATAACTCCAACCTACATCTTCTCTCCGACCTCCATCTCACTTTTTTATATTTTTTGCATGCTATTGTTTTTAATGCAGAGTTACGGAGGCAAGTCAGTCTAGGCAAAAGAAAGCCTACATTAAGTTTCTGGTTTTCTTCCTTCAGAGCTGCAGAAGTATCAGAAAATGTTAGAACCACCACCTTCAGCAAAGCCTTGTACCATTGATGTGGACAAGAAGTTAGAGGAAGGCCAGAAGGTAATCAGTTTTTTTATATTATCAAAGTTACTAATTAGGACCATTTACTGTGTGTGTGTGTGTGTGTGTTTGTGTGTGTGTGTGTGTGTGTGTGTGTGTGTGTGAATATATTTCAAAACATTCCTGTGTGACAGTCTTATATATATGGCACATTTGCCAATTCTACTTTTTTTTATGTATATAATTCAGTGATAACAATTTCTCATATTCTTTCCCTCTGGTATGTGTGCAGATAGGACACTAACCCTCCAGATCATTATCCTGTTTGATATTATACACAATCTGATTCCTACTCATTTTTTTAGAATATAAGGCTGCTGCGGACAGAGCTTCAGAAACTTGGTGAGTCTTTGCAGTCAGCAGAAAGAGCCTGTTGCCATAGCACTGGAGCTGAAAAACTTCGACAAGCCTTGACTACCTGTGATGACATCTTAATCAAACAGGTTAGGGAAATCTAGGTATTCCTTCCCCCACTCAGCTTACTCCAGTGTGTATTTGAGGAGAATAAGCATCCACTGTTACACTAACACGTACCATAACATACCATGTCCAACTGTCACTGATTTTCATTCTTTTTTTAAAGAAATAGTTTGCATATAATTTGTTTTCATTCATGTACACTGTATTTTATACAATCTACATTGTGTTTCATGTAATCATTCACATAACTATATTTCTTGCAACCAATCACTATTGATCTGTCTGTGCCTATTACCAACCTATCTCTTCAAGTCCCCATTTAGTCCTTCCTATTCCTTCACAACAACCTCCCAACTCCACCGATTTTTAAGAAATCATGATTTTATATACTACTAAGGGAAAAACCACTAAATGGCTTTCCTCTGGAAACTCTACGTACGAACAGTGCTCAGGCTGTTCATTCATAGGGTTGCTATGAGTCATCTACGACTCGACGGCATTCTGACTCAAATTTTTAACAAAAAATGTTAAAAATCTTAAACATAGCACTTTGATACCTAGAGACATGGGCTCTTATAGTCTAAATAGCTGATACTCCCTGTGCTATGTGTTCGAATGTATTCTGTTCAACATTGTCAATTCCGACCTTACGTAGAACATCTTGAAGCATAGCTGTTGATAACTACACTTTCACTAATAAACCAGACTAAAATGTAATTTACTATCACTTTTTAGGACCAGACCCTAGCTGAGCTGCAGAATAACATGATGCTTGTGAAACTAGACCTTCGGAAGAAGGCAGCTTGCATCGCTGAGCAGTATCACACGGTGACAAAACTCCAAGGCCAGGCCTCCTCTACCAAAAAGCGCCTTGGTGCCAACCAGGAAAACCAGCAACTGAACCATCAACCCCCAGAAAAGAAACCATTCCTTCGAAACTTACTTCCTCGAACACCCACCTCCCAAAGCTCAACAGACTGCAGCCCTTATGCGCGGATTCTGCGCTCACGGCGGCGCTCTCCTTTACTCAAATCTGGGCTTTTTGGCAAAAAGTACTGAAGCTGTAGGGAAGGAGAGGGAGTCATTACCCTGAGGAGGGTCTGCTGCCTCTGCTTAAGGAGTAATTTTCTCGAGCTTTACCATAACCTGGAGATCTCTCCAGAACACAGTATTCACATACTAGTATCCTCCCCCATTATGTATGTAATATGTATGTAATCTTGTTTGTTTTTCTATGCACACAAAAGAAACATATATTAATAAATATTCACATTTTTATTTGAATTTGAAACTTAGCAAGTTCATTCGAACAAATTATAATAGCATCAAGAAGACTGAAAATAAAATACCACTCAACCCCATGAGCCCCTGTACAGGATGGCAGGGTAGACAAACTAGTGTACAGCCAACCTCAGATGCTTGGTAAGAAATGAACTCAAAGAGCATCAAACTTTCTTAAAGGCTTACTAGAATTACATTAGAGATAAATGTGTAACAAAACATGTTCTGGGAACAAGAGTGAGGAGAAGTTGGGCCCTGAACTCAGAATGATACATAGCATCATCTACCGTACAAATTGATTGTCAGTCATTATCTCCTATTGAACACAAATAATGCAAGTCTGAGAGAACAGTATAAGAATGATGATTCCTTTGCTAGACAGATGAAAAGTGAGAGAATATTGAGATAAGGGGGGGAAAAAAACAATTACAAAAACATGTTTATTAAAACAAATTTAATTGGAGTTTATTCTCAGTCTGTACAGTCACAAAAATGTCCAGGAATTTGTAGTATCCCTGCCCCCTTCACTTTGGCTGAGGCATAGCTAAAGCCATGGGAGACATCTTTTTGTAGGGCTATCAGCAGCTGCCATACTCTGAGAGGCCGCCTACCTTTTTTTAGTCAACCACAATAAACGAAAAACTAGAAGACTCCTCAAAATTGTTTTGAAAAACTGTCTTCCTAGCTTATCAACATTTGCATTGCTGTATGCCATGCATGCACCTAATCTGAGTCAGAATGAGGAATATATTCAGCAAATCAAGGAGGTCATGTCCTTTGAGTGCCATGACCTCTTCCTAAGGTACTGAATTCTACAGCCAGCAGAAAGAGTGGGAGACCTGTTTCTTTGCCTTGCTTCTAGAGAAATCCCCCTCCCTACTCCCAACAGCGTTAAAACCTTATTCCTATAGCACTGTCCATGCTAAAGTAAAGGATGTTTTAAAGGAGGAAAAGGGTTTGGGAAGAAGGCCAAGATCTATAGCCATTCTGAACAAATGGAAGAAGTGCTTTTAACTGCTCTTGCTAAAGTTTTTCTGTCAGTCTCTGAAAGCTATTCTAGAAAACTACCCCCACAGAAGTGTTTCCATCTGTGGAAGCAAAAGAGCAGATGTCCTTCAAAAACAGATGTGGCCTCTTTTTTTTTTTTTTAAATTTTATTAATGTTAAAAAATTAAACTGCTATGATTGGGTGGAAATACAATATGACTGATAAACTCTATCTCAAATTGGGGGGGAAAAAACCCAACAAAAAACCCCACCAATCTTTTGGCTTTGTAATACGCTTTTAAGTTCTTATCTAAGTCCAAAGAATTCCTCAAATTCAAGGACGAATAGAAAAAAAGGGTCAGAAAAATTGGGAGTTAAGGGTGGTATATACAAATTTTTCTAACAACTGTTGAAGCAAATTACCCTAGAGTTGATGGTATAGAGAGACATAAATTACCGTAACAGTTCTGGGTGTCAAAAATCTTAAAATGAATGTCAGCAGGTCTGTGTTCTTTAAGAGGTGATTTTTCTAACTTTTAGGTCTGTCCTTGCTCCTTAGCTCATGGTGGCTTTTCCTTTAGACTAAGGTAAGGCTTAATGTGGGTCTGACACTGTTGGCTTCAAAGTAGCCAACTAAGGTGTGACTGAAGACAGGTTGAGTGGAGAAACTCTGCGTGTGGGGGTGGTATTGGCAGAGAGTGAAGGAGGGAGGAAAAAGGGAGCAGGTATCTCAGTAGTGGGAGTCTCGCTTTGGTTCCGAAGCTGTAGGATTTGCCGGAGCAAGGCCTTACCTTCTTCCCGGGTCTGAAACAAGAGTTAGACAATTATTTTAAAATATGTATAAAAACTATTTTCCAACACAAGTGGTTAAAATATAGACATATCAATTCCACAGATCAACTTGCTGGTCCACTTACTATCCAACTCCCATCTGCAGATCATGGTAAAGAAGGTAGATTCTAGTCTAAAATCCAAATCCTTTATTCAGGAACTGATACTTACATCATTGAATGCACAGCATTTCTGGGCACAAGCTGAAGCTTCATCCCACATCTTGCATTTAAAATAGTACTGGGCCAGATAGCGGAAAGCAGTGCTCTCCTCCAAGTGTTCCACAATTTCCTAGATAGAGAACGTAGGAATGACTAAAGGGATTAAGAATAAGAGCAGCAGCCCAAGGCCTATATTCACGACACATACCCCACAAGAATAGATATCCTGGATGTATTTGATGTAACACTGGGCAGCCTGTTCTGACTCAGTCAGCTGTTCATGAAGCCTATAAAAGAAATTGACCTTTAAGTACAAATCAGGATTCAGTACAGTTAACAATAAATAAATGAATAAAAATACACAATATCAAACAGTAATACACAGAAAAGTAACAAACTCATATAAACTAGAATCACAAACAGGTGAAATCAGACAATATTGTTATCGGTAGCTACTGTCAAGTTAAGTATGACCCATAGAGACACTATGAACAACAGATCTGAACCCTGTGCCATCCTGTGCTATCCTCACAATCTCTAACACACTACAGCCCACTGCTGCAGTCACTGTGTCAGTCCATAGGACTGAGAGTCTTCCTCTCTTCTGCCGTCCCTTACCTTCTCAAGCACGATGTCTTTCTCCATGGAATACTCTCTCCTAGCAACATGCTCAAAGTATATGAGAGGAAGCTATATAATTTTTTTTCTCCAGGGAACACTCTGGATACACTTTCTCCCAGACCTATCTGTTTGTTCTTTTGGCAGTCCACAAGATTTTCAGAACTCTTCTCTAACACCACAGCTCAAAGGTATCAATTCTGTCATTCTTACTCATTGACTAGCTCTCAGATGCTCAGCAAATGACTGAAAAGACTATTTCCTGAATTAGGCCCACATTAGTCCTCAAACTGATCTCATTATTTCTCAATAATTTGAAGAGGTCTCTAACTACAGATTTTCCCAGTGCAATACATCTTCTGATCTGACTGCTGGTACCAAGTATACTGATTGTGGATTCAAGTAAGATGAAGTCGTTGACAGTTTTCATTGTTTTCTCCATCTATTATGGTGTTGCCTATCAGTCCAGTGACAAGGATTTTTGCTTAATGTTGAAATGCAATCTATATTGAAGGCTACAGTGGTGACCTTATGCAACAAGTGCTTCAAGTCCTCCTCACTTTCAGCAAGCAAGGAACAATGGTTACTGATGAGTCTTCCACCAATCCTGGTATCACATTATTAATGGAGTTCAGCTTCTCAAATAATTTGCTCAGCATACAGATAAAATAGATATGGAGATAGGATACAACCCTGACACACCTTTAATTTTAATTTTAGTGCTCCCTTGCCCTATTTGCACAAAAGCTTCTTGGTCTGGCTACAGGTTTCGCATAAGCACAATTAAGTGTTCTGCAATTCCCACTCTTCTCAATGTTAGCCATAATTTTTATGATCCACACAGTTAAATGGCTTTGCATAGTTAATACACAAATAGACATTCTTCTGATATTATTTGCTTTCAGTCAAAATCCATCCAACATCAGCAATGATATGCCTGGTGCCATGGCTTCTAAATCCTGCTTGAACTTCTGGCCATTCTGTCTACGTACTGTTCCAGCTGTCTTTTTTAATGATCTTCAGCAGTATTTCTCTTGCATATGATAGTAATGATATTGTTCAATAAATAATTTCTACATTTTGTTAGCAACCCCTAGATGACAAGGCTAGTTCAGGATAGCATAGGTTCCAAGCCACTATTCATTGAGTCGCTATGAGTCATAGTTGCTTTGACAGCACATAATGAGCTGTGATGAATGACCTTCAATGAGACAGACGGACCCAGTAACTGCAGTCATAGGCTCAAGTGTCAGAGATGATGAAGACGGCCTCAGGTTGGTAGCACAACTCCATTCATTAACCCTGTGACAACCCCTATAGTCAGGCAGACAAATGGAAGGTGCTAAACCACTCAAGACCAACCACACCAAGAAGTTACAGATCTAATAAATGTAATATTTTACTTTCACTCACTTTGCCAGTTTCACCAGAGCCATTTTCTCCACATCTCCCACGGCATAAGCTCTCCAATAACACTGTCAAAGAAATAAACTAGTCACTTTGGCCATTACCTCATGAGCATAACTCATCACAATAAGGCTCACTCAAACCCTGCAAGACTCCCAGGACTCCAGACCCAGAGAAAGACAAAGGTAGTGTACTCAGTCACTGGCATTCCCACTGATGATTTCAGGACAGCTCTTCTTCTACCTTGTGCATATTCAGACTCTTCCTCAGTACTTAAGTCAGAATAAAGGCAAAACTAGAGCAAAGAGAGCTCAATCTTTAACCCAAAGAGCAGATTCCACCCAAATTTTCAAAGACCAAGTTTTAGATACCTTTTTGGCTTCAACTAGTTGATTGAGTTTCTCATAACATTCTCCTAAAGCGACCAGCATACGAGAGTCATTGGGCCTGGGAGAGAAAAGCGGCAGTCTGAGCACAGGCAGACACTGCTTGTTAAGTTACCCTCCCTTCAAGAACCATCATCATCACCCAATGTTTCATAAAATTACATTATTTTGTGTTCATAATTATACCATTAACCTATTAGTGGTATAACCTAAATAAAAATGACCAAGCCAACAGATAACCAGTTTAAATTTAAGTCTCCAACAGCCAAATTTATTCACGATTCTTCAGCAGCTACCAAAAGAGAAGGGATAAAACTTACCAGCCATTTCTTTCTGTCTTCTTTTTTACTGGATTGCTTGCAAAGTTCATATTCACTGTGTTTCACAC